GCCTTATTTATAAAAATCAGTTAACTATCCTTGATGAATTAAATACCTATAATTATTTAAAATTATGAGTAAACATAATACATAACATTTCAACTTCATTTAATGTTAATCATAATTGGAAAATATTTCAGTTTCTTTTTTTTTTTTTTTTTTTTTTTTTTTTTTNTTTTTTTTTTTTTTTTTTTTTTTTTGATTAAAAATCCATAAAATTAATATTTGTACATTAATATTTGAAAAATATTTTGTACATTTTGTAGCAATTATCAAGAAATTTATATTTCGTGAAATTTAATGGATTTTTCCCTATTCATGTTGGCAGCTATGTTGATTCATTTGACACTTTTCAAATTAAATAACACATAATAAATAGTGTTTTTTTTTTCCTTTAAAGGTGACGGTTTTAAATGCAATGTTTATATATTCACATAACTTGCTTTGACTTTGAAATATTTTATGAAATGAAATTAAAAACAAATAAGTATACTCTGAAAAAAGAAAACTATTTGAACAAATTTAAGTGCATATTAAAAGATAAGGCATAGCTTTAAAAAGTAAATGAGGAAAAATGAAGAGTATTGGCAGGTAAGGCTGGTTTTCAAGGTCGGCCTTTGTAATCTTTGATCAAATAACAATCTCAAGAGCGTTGTATGACTGATGTTACTTGTCAAAATTCGATGTTGGTTTTCTTTTGGATCTTTTGTTTTTACCTTTTTTGATTGTCACATAGTGGTTTGCCAGGGTACAGAGTTATAATAATAAGTCATAAATTAGAACATTTATTTTAATTCTTAAGTATGTTATAATTAATTTTTATACATTAATTTTTTCATCAATATTAAATAAAATAAGTCATACATTTCATTGGAACCTTAGTTTTGTAGCTTAAATACTGTTGTGAAGTTTCTGCCATGAGGCAACAATTTGGAACCAAATGAGAAGATAGTAAATTTTTGTTAAAAATCTTTTTAACTGCCAATGAGCATTTCCGTGACTTTAAATTACTATGTCATATTGAAATCCTTATGCATCTGCTCTTCTTAAAGTATACATGTATGTGAAATAAATTAGTGTAAGCACATTTGAAGGAAAAGCATGTCTCTGAAAACTTTTTAAAAATAAAACAGTCCATCACCAACTTGTTTATCTCATAGTGTTTCAAATAATTTAAAATGTATATTTATAGAGTCATTTAAAATCAAAAGTTTTTTTTTTTATCTAATAATAATACATTATGTTTTCTAATATCAAAAGCATGAATGGGAATAAGGTGATACTGAATTTTATGTTTTATTTTACCCAATCATGTCCATACTTTTTTTCAACTGGATCAACTTCAACACCATAATCACAAATAAAGAGTTTTAAGAGTTATAAAAAATCAGACTAAATTAAGCATGAATAAAAATACAGCACTACAACATCAAAAAAGAAAAAAAAAATCAGACTATAATATTTGGAACTTCTTGAAGTTGATTTTTTTAGACTAATTGTTTCTTTTTATTTTCACTAGCATGCATTTTTTTTTACATAATATTCATATTAAGTATTTTTCTAATTATTTTATGATTAACTTATTCCTAATTACTTTCTTGACCAGCTATTTTAATATTTAAAAAAAATTGACCTTTTATGAAATGTATATTGACTGCATTTAAAAACCTTGTCTTGAATCTTGTGGCATTTATAAAAGCCTATCCAGAAGGAAAAAAAAACTTTTTACGAACCAGTAATCAGAACAATCTCATTACAATTTGACAGCTGAAACAGCCGCAAACATGTCAAGCTGAATAAATGCTAACTTTCATTAAAACAGAAACAAAGAATCCATTAAAGAAAAACAGGCACATTGTACTCTAATGAACAGAGCAGAACGACAAAAAAAGGTAAGAATACAGTCTAACCATCTTCAACTCGAGCTTAAGTACTTTTGTACTATGGATAAGGAATGATTTCATGAGTCATGCGTCATCAACCAACTTCAAATAGAAAAAGACCGACTAAACACATGCTGTGCTTCTTTTAAAACAAAACACATGCATAACTTATATACAAATGAAACTACTTTTCAATGATAAGTACTTGTATTTTTGGGGGTATAATTACTGGATTTATAAATGTAATATTTTTTATCTTTGAATTTTTCAGCAATGAGCAATGAAAATGACATCATTTCCCACTTTTCACTCCAAGGCTCTTCGCCATTGTTCTTGTGGTAAGTGTTCCCATCTTTTTTTATTTTGTATGACACAAATAGTTATTAGGCTTCAATATGAATTAATTTTCTTGATTATATGCTCACAATCATCCCTCTTACGTAAAGGAAACTGGCAGGCTTGGTGGCAAAAAAAATCTGTCTGTGGGCTGCACAAAGTTGGGCAGTCCTACACCAGTGCATGTCTTCAGTGCTTGTATTGACACTGCACACTGCGATAGGAATGAGGTTTTTCAGGCCTATGTGAGCATGCCTGCCAAGTCTGTTTTTTTAAGGAATACTCCTGTATTTTACGACTATCTCTTGTTTACCCGTTTATACTAAAATTTCTCCATATTTGTTAAAGAATTTTTTTAAAGAAAATTTTTTTTGGCAATAAAATATCCGTTGATGGCAAAAATACTTCTCTTCTTCCTCTACATGAATATGCTATTGCCAGTACTGCAGTATGTTAAGTGTTAATAGTTTAAGTACCCCTTGCAGTCAGGCTAAACGTGTGTCATTTTTGTGGTTTTCCTCTTCGTGTAACTCAAATGAGGGTTGGTTCCATCAAAAAGTCCTCCACAAAGACAAATTTCTCCCAATAATTGATTAATCCATGAGTTCCCTTGTCTTCTGGATTGGGTTCAAAATTGCAAGGCTACGGAGTTGAACACTAGTAGCCCTAAACCCAAAATTAGGTCAGCTGTTTTACAATGATTATAAAAAAGCTTTAGTAATTATACAAAATGGTTTAAAAAATCATTAAATTAAGATTTATATACATATTTTTTGCTAAATGTAAATGCTTAAATTATCTATAATTTTGAATATCTCTTTTTGACTTACATGATTATGCATAATGTATCAAAACTCTACTCATAGCCTAAAAAATGTCGCTAGTAAAATCTCTGTCATTTTATTCCTCCAATGTTGACAGGTATGCAGATAAAATTATGGAAGGGGAGTATTGTGGCGTAACTACCTCTAGTAAATACGACATGTTAACTCGATTCTATCTTAAGATATTTTTTGAAGGTTGGCGTAGTCTATAATTATATCTCCTTAATATTTCTGTGAATACAATACAGTGTAGTTCATCAATATTCACATATTTTATGTTAGTGATTATTAATTTATTGAAATTTCCATAGTTTCAGAAAATGTTTTCTCTAGTGATTACAAATGTAATGTAATAATATTTTTATAAATTAGAATTTTAAAAAATGTTGGTAAAAGTTTTATTACAATTATGTTTATTTTAAAATTTTTGGTTTTATTTCTCTACTACTGCTAACTATATTTTGTACTAATAATATCTTTATAATATGCCCAATTTATACGAACATTTAAATAAATAAATAAGCAAAATGACTTTTCTAAAGTTTTGAAACATTAGTCTAATGCATTTCCTAAAAATTAACTATTTGAGTATTAATAATAATAATAAAAACAATTTTGCAATTTCAATCTTTAAATGCTTGCTTAAAGTTTTATTTCTAACGAATAGTATTTGAAATCACCTTAAATGTAGTTAATGCAAAAAAATAAGACATATAAGTTTATAACATTTTGTGAAATCAAATAAAAAATAATATAAATGCGATTCACTACGAAATGAAGAAAATTGTGATAGCTTCAAGGTGATCACACGTTACCCATTGGCAAAATGGTTGTTGTCTAATAGTTTTTTTTGGAAAAGAAAAATTTGTATTTTCATCTTGGACATCTTTAACTGTTAATCCTGAACTGCTCGGTGCACAATTTCACAGACATATTTAATTGCAACTCAAACATATTCTGTGTAAAATCTTTTGATGACTGAATAGACATTGAACAACCAATCAAAATCAATGTTAACATTTTCGGATTGATACAATGGTGTTTGATGGAGATTATAAGCTGCATCATACACCCGTTTCGGATTCACGAGTTCATATATGATATATAATTTGAATGTTAGGCTTTTTTTTCAATTTTACATGAATAGTGAATGAATCATTTATATTGCGTGGAACACAGTCTATGGTCTTGTGCAAGTTATTGGGTACATTGACAATGGATCCTTTTATCCCTAACTAGTGATCAACATCCAGTTCTCGTATTTGCATGAAAGAGGCTCGGAGGGACGGGCTTCATGCTTGCGTTTGTGAACGTTCTTTGGCTTTTTCAGCCTCTGTAAAAAGAATAAGATTTTTTTTGTATTTAAAAAAAGATACTGATGTATTTCTACATCATCACAAAAAGTCAATATTTATTGCAATATTTCAAACATCAATTTTTATATAAATAACCGTAATTCGTAACACCTTCCAAAATGAAATTGTACTCATTGAGTCAACAATAAAAAGTGTTGCAGATAAAAAAATAAACTGTCATAGATTTCACGTTCTTAAAGGATAAAATAGTTTTGATAAAATTAAAATAAAGACACTGTAAAGGTAAAGGTTGATACATAGGAGTTTTAAACATAAGATGCAGACCTACTTCACTATTTGTCACTATTTCCAGTGGTGTTTAATTTTCCTTAGTAATTTTATTAATATTTTCTTAGTAATATTATAATTAGGTTTTTCCATTTTTAAAAAAAAAATATATTGCTTAATTTTTACTGAAATAATTTACCCAGCAATTATTTTTTCCGTTCTATAGCTTGTTATGGAAGATGCTTCTGGATAATGATCGAATAACAACTATAGCCTATGAGTAAGTTTTACAGAGTATTGTATTTTACTGTAATAATGAATGATAATATTTATATTAGAAACTGCTACAGACTACTTCAAATTAATTGTTGTTAATAATTTTTGAATTAAATTAATCTTTCATTAAAGTAATATTATGATTTATTCAGTTTTTTTTTTAAACTATAAAAGTATTAAATAAACTGTAAAGTAGTTTAAAGAAATTCCTTTATTATCTTATGAAATAATACAGTTTTGAGAAATTTTAGAAAATGTTTTTGCAGTAAACTGTTTCAAAAATCATTCATATTTTTCATGAAAAGTGTGGGAAGCAAAAATTTTAGGTCTGGATGGTATCTTCGGAATTGAAATTTCATGTCCTAAATCATGCTAATTGTAATATTGGATTTGTAATGCATTTCTTATTTCTAATAAATTTTATGAGTGATCATTATTCATTTGTCATTTAAAATGAGGGAAAAAAAATTTTTTACAGAATTCTGGATCGAATAGGTGCTAGAG